TACTGCGAAGGATCGTGCACATATACGTTTCCTTTTATGTATGCTCACATAATAAATTGATTGATTGTTTGGATAAATTGCTGCCAATTTGGGTTTTTGACTTGTCATTTGAGTTTCGTTGAGGTATGAGTATATTTTGATACACCAGTTTGTTTAATTTAATCAAGACATACTTGAACTACATTTCCGTTGTCATAAAATACATCATTTAGTCCGAAAAGGTCGAGTGTAAATGAATGCAATGACAGAAGTAATAGCTTAGTCTTATTTCACTCAAAGGAAAATAGTTCGTCTTAGATTTCTAGGCCAATAGCATAACACTGGGCGTGGAATTTGTCAGGAGACAGTCAGCGTCAAAAGTTCAGACGTTGGGTAAATTTTCAAAGCCGGGGCATCGTCTTACAGAGAAAGAAAGAGACTTAAGTATTGTGTGCACCGAGCATCGCCTTTGCGGTTGTATACGACTGAGAAGCTTCACCAGGTAAGACGGTTGTTCTCTAGCGGGAAATTACGAAAGGAAGTGGGTAAACAAACACACTCCAAAATCAATCGGTGCATTCAGGAAGCAACACCGTAAACTGTTCTTAAGTTACAAACGATGTTTCTTCACAATTATGTAACAACAAAATGCAACAAAAGAATTTTGCTCCACGTAATCACTTTTTCGAGTGCTGGTCAGAACTGACTTCTGAGGTCCTTGAGGTTTCTGACGTATTTGTTCCTTATCGATTGGTAATATTTGGAAATAAGGTAAGGGTTTCTTCATTTCCTACGCTTCGCTACACTGATGTCTAAGTCATGCGGGTCAGGTCCAACTAAAACGTGGTGAATACCATTTTCATGCAGAGTTACACAATTTACAAAGGAAAGAACGCTTCCCCTTATGCAATCAGCATTTCTTCATCGGCAAGTTGGTGCAAGTCGTAGAAAATAAGATGAAATGATATACGGAACTAACAGTTATATGAATCAGAGCTATGTTTTTTGCCGGATGATTCTATGAAAAGTCGATGCGCGATGCGTCGTGTGAACCAAAAACTACCTTGGAATTCTAATCGACCGTAAATTGGAAGACTCGGTTGAGCTTATGAATTCAGAGAACCACTCAAGTAGATCTCAGTTGCTTTTATTGCCTGTCTCTCGAACCCTTTCAACGTCCATGTGTCATGGAAGTTGAAACCACAGTGATAAAATTGCAAAGCTGGCACCATACCAAAGGATGCCGGCTTTTAATAACCAAATACGTTGACTAGTGCTGGAGGATATCTTTTATAACTAAGCTAGTAATCGATAACAAGATCCTCACACAGTTGAACGCCAATGAAGTAAACTGCGGAAAAAAAAAAAGAACTATAGAACCAAAGCCTCCTGGAAAATGGTTTGGCGCTATTTTCGACGAAAGCACTGAGCCTTACGCTTCAGATTGATAGTGAGGCAAACCTTATTGGGCTCTTTCCTCTCGATGAAGGAGTCTGATCACAAATGAATGGAATAATTTCCTTTATTTGCCACCCGCTGTGCTTCTGTTATAATTACTGCAGCACTGGCCCCAAAATAGAATGGTCTTGTTTGTTGAAGATATTATCCTTTGCTACAATACCAGCCTTGAAGATTCATTAGCTTTAGTTTGGAGATGCGCACAAACAGCATTATATAAACATGCTTGTTGGAAGCCTCAGTCTGAATCACACACTCTAAAGCTTAGAGCTAGAAACACCTTAGACCGAGTAACAAACAAGAGACCTCATTAAAATATTGTTCAGACGCTTTCCTTCAGTCGAAAGTTTGCATGTTGGGCGTTCATTACCGCCAGGCAACAATTAAAAGCATTTGTTAGGTGCAAAGAGCATTGCATGCTTCAAATGACTGCCTTTATTAATTAACTTCATTGCTGACAGACTTAGATAGAGTAAAATTACTTTTCAATTTAATTTTCAAATCATTTAGTTGACTGCGATCGTGAATGTCCCTCAGGTTATTAAACTCCGTCACAGACGAAGACATCAGCCCTTCTCTCAGCTCAAGTGACGTATATTTACGTTGAATCTGAGTGACTCGAATGCTTAGCTGCTTAAGGGACATTTCAAGAAGCTCAATTTATCCCCGTCATCTGTTCTGATTCTCTTACAAAACATCGTGAAGTATGCAACAATATTTTTTACTGTTTCATGCAATCTGACGAGCTTTCCCTCTTTTAATTTTGGCTTCTGCATCATCTAACCCTTGAGCTGTTTACCTTCCGAGTCGCATTCCTCCAGGAAAGCCCCCCTTCCCTCCTCCCCCCTCCCCTGTCCCCATGCGCGAGTTTTGACAAGATCTGTGCAATTGTAGAGAGAACTGCTACCTGCCTTTAGGAATAATGCTATTAATCCCCGTGTTTTTTAATTCTTGAGACAGTAAAATGATAAACCTATCTCGCCGAAGAGAGGGATAGTTCGACTGTCTTGGAATATTAATTAATCTAGGCCCTATCATTATACTAAGCCTTCGTTGACATCTAGACCTTGGTCTGGATTTATTGGCTTTCCTCTTTAGAGTTGCTAATCACGTTTTATCGCCAGGTAACTGTTAAGTCCTTCTTCCGATGAGATCAAGGCCAACTGAGTTCTTTATTATTATAAGGGTAACTAGACCTCGGACCAATTCTATCAATACACGTGAGCTGCTAGAAACACGTTTAGCTACAACCACGTGTGCGCAATCACTGTGAAAGACAATTCACGTTAATGTAACGAAGCGTAGATTAGAAATTTCCATTTCTTGGCCGATTTTTTTTTTTTCAGATTAAGGGTGTTTTCAATTGTAAAAATTTTCTCGTCAATTCTTGTCCAGTCGTGTAAAAATCATTACTGAGTTAAAAAAAGGGTCGAACGTTGGTTCAACCTGCGAGAAAACTCTCTAGTATTGGGGGGCCACTAAGCGAAGCTACTACATCATGCTCGCACTGAACTGTAGTAATTTCGAAATACGGCTCTTAGTACGATAGTCGATGAAGGCGATGGAGATCCTTTTTTTTCTCTTTTAAGTATTCAAGGAAATAAAATAAAAGTATGTGTGCGTGTTTTTGTGCGTGTGTGTGTATTTGTGTATGTTAATTTTCATTCAGGAGAGCTTAAGATAGATAAAATCAAAAACATGATTTAGTTAATTATGATTGACCTCATTCTTAACGTGCCAAGTGTAAAGTGACTGATCCGAGATGGGCATTCAAAAGAATTTCAAAATATTCTCTGGACAGAAGTCAACTTTAGATAGCAAGAAAACAATGTCAGTTGTCCTCGAATTGATAACTTAATTATTCTCAAGTGATTTTTGGTTGTTTCTGGAAGTTAAGACTATTTACTTTTTGGGCATTCCGCGAAAATCATGCAATATTTACACACTAATTCAGAAGGGCAACGTGAGATCAAGAATTTTATCGCCTCTGGCTATAAGCAGCAAGTCAGATGATAAACAATGATGCTTGATGACTCGCTAAAATTAGGCAGACGTTGTTAAACTTGTTCTGTGCTTCTCTCAGATTCATTGGACAAGGACTCCGCTACAAGACAAGCCATGAAGCAGAGACGAAAACTCGGTTATAGCAATCAAGTCAACCTACGGAACATTCGAATTGCTGTAATGGGCCAAGATGGCGTCGGAAAAACAGGTTAGGTGAAGTAGTTAATATGCTTTTATGTATTGATGAAAACAATTACACATACTTTGCAAAAGCTGGACCTTTTAACGAAACTATCGGTAATTTGTAAGTTTGTTTTTCCTGTAGTTTTAATATTCTCTCTTTAAAAAAGGAAAATGTCCCAAGTTCGAATATTACCTCGATAAGTGACTTCGAGATGGAAACATGTTTCGTAATTTCTACTTCGGTCGAAATCCTTGATTTAGGAGTTTGCCCTTAAAGTTTCTTGTATCAAAGTTACTCTTAAAAAATTGACTCTTCAGTTGCAATGAAAAGTCGATTGATGACGATTTGTAAAATGGAAACCAGGCGGAACTTACGGCAGACCACACAATTGAGGTTTCCTGCTCGATAAAGCCCTCAAGTACACATCGGTTGACCACAAGTTCAAACCACTTGACTGAGTTTTTTTTGCTTCCGTTATTTCTCGCTACTCAATTTTCGCCTTGATTTCTGCATATACAAATCTCCGACGACATTTAGAATTGAAGTGTCTATAATACAAACGCATAGCGCATGGCATTTAACTCGTGGAACAATTCTTTATAAGTGGAAGAAAGAATTAGATATTTCAGTTTCGCTTATCTACTGTCCAACAAAGAATCCATGGTTTCCTTATGTACAGGTTTATTGATTGATCTTTTTTACCCATCAGTGCGGATGAAAACACCGGGTTGACCAATCGAATACTGACCCAAACATTTTCTTCATTGCTATATATGTTATTATTAGATTGCGAACAAACTCTTTTGTTAAGTAAATTGTTTACGCTTATATTCCACTCTTTTATTTCGTCAAACTCTCAAAAATCACCTCCCTCTCATCCATCATTTATCAAACGGAGGGTTATCATGAATACGAACTATCGATGTATTTAGTTGTATTCCTCAGTAGGAACTTCACAGCATTTATTGTTTTCTTTCGTTGTTTATCAATTCCAATGATGATACTAACTGACGAAGAAAAATACCATTTTATTGTAGCTCTCACCGTGCGATTTTTGACAAAGCGTTTCATTGGGGAATACGACCAAACACTAGGTACGTAAAATGATATTTTTGTTTTTAACTTTATCCTCCTTTTAAAAGTATGTCTGATGCAGGCGGGGTATAATTTACGAACTTTCAACGACTGTGATTAAATATCTCATGTTCCGGGAAACAAGGGTGAACTAGAATTTGGCTCGTGCAGGGCATGTCTTTGTAGCTACCAACAGTAGCCAGTGTAATAGAATCCAGCACCTGTTTAAGTTTGCACTCTTTACCGTATTTTAAATTCTACAATTTCTTCTCTTGCAGTTTATCTACTGTGATAGATTCGTTTCTTTTCATGCCCAAGTTTTTTTTGTAAAAGTATTTGCTTCTTTGTTCGTGTCTTCCGTGCAACGTTACCATGAGCACTTGAAAAGTATAAGTCATTTTAAGTCGTGTTGGTCATATCAGCATAACCATAAAAGTCATTTAATAATACTTCACGTACTATAATTCGCAATTGACGTAATTTTTCCTAAATAGGACACTGCTCCCATTGTTGTCTAAGATTGTCCCTCAGCGGGGAGGTTATGCACCAGCGATGATCTCGTGAGGTGAACTGCTTAAAACATGCAACAAACAAGAGAAACTTGGAGAAAATCTATGAAACTCTATGCCTTATATTTTCTATTACAAGTTGCATTTATATTGTGAGATATAAATGCAAGATCTCGATGTCAACTTTGCCTCGAAGCGACTAAAGCTGTTTTGGGGACCAACTTGATGTGTTGATTAATTTATGTACCAATGTTATACCGGCAACGCATCAACGCTTCAAAATACTTAGAGTGAAACTTTCCACCCACGCTGAATGACTCGACCGTTTTGAAGTACGTCTAGCAGTTGCTTATCTGAGAACGATTTTTCCGTCAAGTTTTGCAATTTCCTTTCATGTCTTAATTTGGTTCGTAACTGGTTAGTTGCATAATCAAGACGCCTCGATCAGTGGATAATCTTACTTATTGAATCGTCCAGACTAGACCACCCGTTTATCGATAAGGATCGTTTTAGTTGGGTACTTAACAGACCAGACTGAATTTTTAAGTTTCCTTACAAGAGCTGAGAGGATCTTAATTAATTCGTGTCCTTAGTACTTTCTAGTCTCATTCAACTAGCGCCAGCTACACGTAGATATATGTGTGATAAATTCAGCAGAGGTTGCTGAAATAAACACGCCACTGAGCAAGGAGCCCATACTCAAATTGAAGGTTGGGGACAACTGATAATTTCAGTAAAATATCTGCATTGTAAATTGCTTGTTGGTTCTTTTCACAGAAACAACCAATAGGCACCACATCGACGTGGATGGAGAACATGTTGCACTGGACATTTTGGACACAGCAGGAAAGGTAGATGTCTTGCTTCATTACACAGAACTAGAAAAGAGGATATCTCGTTTCCAGACTCCCAGGGCGGGAACAAGGAAGAGGGGGGGTGGGGTGAGAAGGAGAGACGTGTGTGATGAAGCGATGACAGTGATGCTCCCATTATATGCAATGACTGACATTTACTTTTGCCTCTTTTTTAGAATTCTGAAGAGAAGCTTGAGAACATCGTTGTATACGCGGACATCTTCCTCGTTCTTTACTCCATCACAGACCGCGCCAGTTTTCAGGAAGCCGGCAAGATCGTCAAGTACATCAGACGCCACAGAACCCTGGACTCCAGCAGTATAATCATCGCGGGAACTAAGCGTGATTTGGAACACTTCAGAGCCGTTCGCGAGACAGACGGCAGTAGACTCACCTATTCCCTCAACTGTGGATTCTTCGAGATATCAATTTCGGAGACTTTTGCTGAAACAATAGACATGTTTCATGAAATCTTGAGACAATATTTAAACGCGCATCCCTCGCAAGATCCAGCAAGTACAATTGTAACCGCTCACTCACCAACTCCTATGATTTCTCAGCATAAAGAAATAAAATCTCCGTCTTCTTGGGCAAAGGTCAAGGGATTGAAGACGATGCCGTTTAGAAGAAAGTCTACACAGGCTGTTGCCTGCTGATAAGCTTGGCTTGGAAGGCAAACAACACGCCTGGAATTTATGTCTGACGAAATACAGCCACGCACGTAGCAGTTGCACGGATGATCACGAAGAAAAATAACAGGAAATATATGATTATATGGTCATATATATGAAACAAAACAATTTCCTGGTTACGTCCGGGAAGATTCAATTTTAGAAGACTTGTATATGAGTCTCAACCTGAACAACAGATATCTGGAAGTAAAGACAGTAGTTTAATCTAAACGTAAGAGTTTGAAAATCAGAGAACTTGGAATTCGCGCAGGATCAAGTAAAATTCGAGCGAAATGTGCAGTATAGATAATTATGTTATATAGAGCTCAACCCGTTTGAATATGAAGAAAACCGTAGATTATGGATTAAGATCTGAATCGTTGTAACCTGTGTATATAGGTGTATATAAATATTTTCAGTAATCTAATGCTACTAATCTAGCTGTAGCCCGAAATAAAAAGAGATCTCTTACAAGACAAGCTTGGAAATTTTATCGTAATCTTATTCTGCGCAGTTAATGGTTTTGAGGGCACACGATTAACAAACCAAACTGCTGCGAAGGTTACAACAACCTTCCTTATTGCTCATATGTAAGTTTCTTCAGTAACACTCGCTCTGGGCATTTTGCATCAAGCCGTACCCAGAGGTCTCCACGCTCAAAGAAGTGGGTGCGCAAGAGACGAAGGGAACGTCTCTTTCATCTTCTCCCCATTAATCTTTGCCTATGATTTGGCTCGTTCCCATTCCAAAAGCCTGAGGCAGAAATAGATTTCCATCAGAAATAGCAGATAAAACTGTGACTTTTTTCGGTCTGTATGTCAGACATTAATTGATAAAGTCTGCAAATGACAGAATGCCAAAACCAGTATGGAGGGTCCCAATAGAGTGATGGCTTTTACGGCTAGCAGTAAAAATTTTGGCCATTTTACGGCTAAAATTTAATTTTTTTTTCCGTTACATTTAAAACAAAAGTTTTGACGGTTGACTTCTCTCAAGACTCGCGTAAATAATTGTCCATTTTTACGCCTACCTGTTTAATTTTGCTCCCGTTTTACGGCTAAAGTTTAACCGCCCCATTGAGACTCTCGGAATACCCGAAAAATTGCTGGAGACAACTCTGTAAGTGAAATTATTTTCTTGAACAGTAAGGTTCTAGGTCAATGAATTCGTATAGAATCTATCATCAGTTAGTAATTAATTAGTCTTTGAAAGAAAAAGAACAAATAAAAGATGCATGAATACACGATTCCGCGTCTCAACCTTGACAGGGGAGCGAGGGAAAAACGGTAGGAAAAATACACCTTCCGCCATGACTGCCTCCTTAAAACATCGCATTAACTCATTTGATTTTTAAATTTTATCTTCTAGTCATCGTTTGTTTATTTCTTACTATTGTTAGTCATTTAATGTTTTAATGCAGCATGCATTTTACAGCACTTGTGCTCCCAGAACGCAATAATTTCCAAAATAAAACTTTTTCCTCTATTTCCCACCCAAACATTTTTGGGTCCATTGAGTGCGTCTTTTGACAGCGAAATCAAGGCCCAACAAACAGACATCCCATCACATGCAATCTTCTGGTCAAATAAACGTCAACGATTGCCAGATCTGAAATTTGAAATGTGTTGCAATACTGCCTCACTCGTCTACCTTTTTTCCATACTAGTGGTGCTATTTATTGCTGTCAATGACCCACAAATCGTAAACAAACTTACATTAATCGATCTACGCGTCTCATGTAAAAGTGGTACTTCGATCACGGGACAAACCCCGAGTCAGTTCCTCAGTTCGTGTAGCGCAGTACTCGTCGATGGTCTCCTTAAGACTGGACATGGCCCTGTTTCGACTCACGTTTTTCTCTACCATTTCCATAATTTTGCTGTGAGATGATCTTCTTGCCCCGTTCAGAGCCTGTTGAGTCATTTTATACTTCACTGTCTCTCGGATAGCTTCAATAAACACATTTTCGATGTCTTGATAGCTCGCCTTAGTGGAAACCTCGTGAAAGGCCATACAGTTCAATTTTTCAGCCAGCTGAATTCCATCTTGTTTCGATACTTCAACTCGATCGCTCCCTACGTCTCCTTTATTTCCCACCAACACCAGAACAGGATGGTCAGCTTCTCGCACGTTTTGCAGATGATTCCCAGCAGCAGCAAGTTCTTCAAAGCTAGTTCGATCGTCCACAGCGTAAACTAGGACAAAAGCGTCTCCCCACAGAGCATGGACGTCATTATTCTCAAGATAATCCTATATTAACCATGAAAAAACGATTATAAGTTATTAGATCCCAGAAAACGGCCGCTAGTGTCCAAAATCCAAAATCGGCCCCTACTGTCTCAAATCATGAAATCGGCCATTAGGGTCCAAAATCGAAAGTCGGCCACTAGTGTCCTAAATTGTACACCTTCTCAGATACTCAGATGTTTTTTCATTCTTCCTAAGTACCTTCCAAATTAACCAGCTATTTCCCTTATATATATATATATATATATAAATCGGCAAATACAGTACGGTGCGCACGCGCAGCTGTCTATTTTTCGCGACATACCTTGCCTCCAGACTCAAGGATCTCTACACGGACGTCTTGATTTTCCAATCTGGCATGATGGTGATATATTGAACCTGCAGAAATTTGAAAAGTTAGACAGTTTTTTTACTTACCTTATTTTAACGCTCGCCCTTTAACGCGAAAATATAGGTTCTAAAAACTCCGTGAAAAGGCTTACCATTCAGCGAAACTGCATAGATCGCTATTAAAACAAAGGCGCTTACCTGACGAGTGTATGGTACGGGTGCCGAATGAAAGCATAACAGGAAGATGTATCGAAAAGGTGCTTTTTCAAAGGGTGTTATCTTTTCCTTTTTTCCATGCACGCTTGTTTTGTTAATCAGATTTTCGTCGAGGGAACAAACATCAGCTTTCCATCGAACTCTCAAGGAGACAAAGCCATGATAAGCACGTTTAAGATCCGTCGAATTAACCGTTGATAAACCTCGTTGATGGCCGAAAATGGGCCGAAATCTATATTGTTTATTTATTCACTCGATACATTAACCATATATCTGTCGATTGGTTTTATAGCTATGAAATAAATTCACTTATCAGAACCCTGCAGCAAATTAGGACCAAAGTTTTCTGGGGTGAACATTTGGACATCCTCGTCCTGCAAATCTTTTTTCTCAAACTGCAACTAAGACATAATTGAGCGAAGTGCTTTAGCGAATGTCAACTGCGCCAGCTTACTTCTACTTGGCCTTATTCAAAACAGAGGGAAAGATTTGATTTTCATAGAATTACAACAACACTTATCGCGGCTTAACACGGAATTTGGAAATCCTTTAATTGCACCGCCTGAATATAAGCATCGTACTTTATTAACTGCCTACATTACTTCTTCATAATCAATCCGGTTAAAAATTATGTAGCAGGTCAGTAAAATAAGAAAAATTAGACGCGGTTGATCATTTTAAGGTAGGAAAACAAATTGACACTCATTTGATGTAGCCGAGGAGCGCTGGCCACGATCTGACACTGAATTTATACCATGACAGCAGCTACATGGATTCAACTGGTTGACCTCTGTATTCAATAAACAAAATAGCTGCTGATACCCCCATAAATATTGATAAAAGAAGCCTCGGGTATGGCTAATGTATTGAATTCCTTTTGAATTTCTCTCTTTCGGCGCAAGTCAAAGAAGTAAATGAAAGAAAATCTTGTTCTCCAGAATTTGAAGATGAACTCGAATATGGTGCAAGCCAAAAATTGGAACTTCAATGGTTTCCCCGCCGGGCATGACAGCTTCGCGTGGGTGAAGGCATGTGTAAACAAAAATTCTTAGTTATTCCATTAGAAGCTTTCTTTTATGAATTGTCGGTTACTTGTGAAGTCAGAGGGAATTGTTAGATAAACAGAATTAGAGCTGAATACGTACCGATGTTGGGGTCATATTCGCCGATGAATCTCTTGGTCAAAAATCTCACGCTCATTGCTTGAGAGTGATTCAAACGGAATTAAAACGTGTATTTTAACAAGCTCAGTGACTGTACATGTGTGGAGCTTTCTCTGAAGAAGATTGTTACCTAAACTAACAAGAGAGTGTGCAAGAAAAAGACAAAGAAGAATAAAACACATAACCTAAGAGTATAAGTGTTGAAAAATGAATGAAAACTAACTACAATTGACAAAGGACAGACTGCGATAATAACACTCAGGCTACCTGATTTTCCAACGCCAACTTTGCCCACAAGAACAAGTTTGACCAGAATTGGTTTCTTGGCTCCATCGCCGATAGCTTGTGCTTTTTCCATGTCTACGCGTCCAGCGAAATACCAGATGGTCTGTTATGCTCCTTGTCTGCTGATTATGTGTTAATTTGTGGTTATTGTGTCAGGCGACTTCTCATAGAACTGTTTGCATAGCATTCAATAGCACTGATGTCGCGTCGGCGCTGTTAATTACCCTGTACTCATTTCAATAACAAGCACTTGGTGGGCCGCTGATGCCGAGACGTACTATTCAAATTATCTTCCGTTTTTCTAGACGGGTAAAAGTTTGATCAGGCGTGGAGAACTGAATAAGCGAAGTTAAAGTGTATCTGCACTCCTAAAAGAAAAGTGCTAACCGCCTCCCGGTTAGCTCAATGGATAGAGCGCTGGACTGTTGTGCGGGAGGTCGAGGGTTCGAGCCGCGGCCGGACCAACACTCATGGTCTTAAAAAAATTGAGAAGAATATGCTACCTTTCTATATCAAGAAATGATTAGATATTCTATTCATCTCGGATAGGGACGAATAACTGGAGGTCCCGTCTCCTGCAGGGTTAGGGGCAGGAGACGTTTATTTCCCACGCACGAGATTACTGTGTGATGGATGTCCTCCCCTGGGATGGGATGGGTGGGTAACAGGACCCCAGTTGATACCAGTGTTTACTACACTGAAGGGGCTATCTTGTATAAATGGAGATATCTACTCTACTCAGTAAGGCTCGTCACAGATCAGGTCCAGTTTTCTTATTTTCTCCTAAGGTAAATTTTTCTCACATTTTTTTCCCAATATGTACCCCTCAAATTTTTTAAATTCCCCTGTCCGAGTTTCCGATTCTTGTATCCGTTTTCGGACGACTCCTTTCGATTTCGGTCGCTTGTGTCCGTTTACAGATCTAGACTGCTCCGTCCAACTCACTTTTGTCCGTTTTTGAACGATTCCTTTCGATTTCGGATACCGCTGTATTCGTTTTGGATAGTTCTGTCCGGTTGGAGACAGTTGTTTCCCTTTGTATGCTTCTGTCCAATTTCGGACACTTGTATCTGTTTTCAGAATCTACTCTCATGTGCAGCTGAGGATGGTTCTGTCCCATTTTGGAAACTCACTTCCGTCTGATTTTGAGCATAACTGTCCGCACAGTTAATTTTTATCTTTTTTATTTTTTAATTTTTTTATTTTTACTTCTTACGTTCACCTTTTGGTTATTTGTGACGCTAGTCATTGCCCTACACTATGACCGCTGACCAATCTTACCTTTACCCCATTGCCCTGTGCCTAAACATATAGTTCAAGATTTTATCGTATTATTCCGCCGCGGGAGAACTGCACAACTCAATGTCGTTTCGCAAACCAACTGAGGAAGAAAAACATAAATTTATGGGTCGAGCAATAGCACTCAGCGATGAAGGACCCTCAAAGGGACACGGCGGCCCTTTTGGAGCGGTTATTGTGAAAGATGGCCAAATTATTGGTAAACTTGATATTTTTCGGCAGATTGTTTCACAACCAGTCGTTGTATGCGATCTACGCAGCCGTGAGAGACAAAGTATCTGAATGCTTTGAGAGTTTCTCTGTATGAATATACTAATGGTATAACTTTAAGTCGTTGTAACTCGAGAGCTCGCGGTATACGTTAAGATCTTGAATTAAAAGTCGGGATCTCGCGACATTAGTCGAGATGTCGCGTTTTGAGTCACGCGATGCAGGTCGAGATCTTGCGCCATAACTCGAGATCTCGCGGTATAAATCGAGATCTCGTGTTATAAATCAAGATCTCGTGTACTTTAAAAGTCCAGATTAAATCATTTTGACTTAGGAAATTAAACAGTATACTGCTTACGAAGAGCATTTGGATGTCTGTGTGTCCTTGATGTCAGCACAAACGTTTACCTCAGGTTTAAATGGCCTTAGCCTGACCCCATACAAGGAAGACAGAGGAATCGAGAGTAAACATAAGGAAATTGATAATGTCTTCATAATTCCATTTCCCACGCAGCATTCAGAGAAATGTTAAAAGTATCCTCATATGTTCTCATAGATTGCATACAAATGTCTGGGTTGCGAGTGATATATTGATATTATAAGGAGATGTTACTTGTTAATCAAAGGGTTATAATTGGCCATTTTCAGGAGAAGGATTTAACAGGGAGGTAATTGATTGTGATCCTACAGCACACGGAGAAATGACAGCCATTCGACAAGCTTGTAAGAATATTAAATCAACTGATCTCAGTGGTTGTGAGATATACACAAGCTGGGAACCCTGTGCAATGTGCTCATCAGCCATCTGGCTTTGTAGGTAAGTGATTAACATGAATGTCAGACCTGTTGTAGGTAATGTTCTATTGGGATCAACTCTTACTGTTGAAGCAGGCAAAGTCTTCCAATAAAATGCTACTAAACCATAACTATACCACTGTACTGTTTTCAGCTGAAACACTGTAACTGGTAGCAAATGGTAAATACCATAGCTATGGTATTGTTAAGGATGCATGCAGGAGGTTGCTAAGCACAAAAGAAGCATTGAGCGACTCTAGCTTCTTGAGTGCTTAGCAAATCTCCCAAATGTATTCCATAACTTACTAGTGTGTGCTGTGGTATTTACCATTTGGTATATAACATGATAAACAACTTCTTGTGAAACATTTGCTTACTTGGAAACATTTGCTTAAGTCACGTCAGCAGCATGCACCCATGGGCAAATAGTAGACGCTGAACTGACCAATCAGAGCATGTGCTTTACATGATTTATTTTGTAATTTGGAATGGTCCTTACTCTCAGATTTCTCCAATTTTGCTAGTTGAAAGTAGACGACATAGCACCCAGTTTCTTGTTTATGAGGTTTTAAGTCAATTTGCAGACTTGATAACTCCAGTACGAGGGCAAAATAAACTTGTTATTTTGTTTCTTTGTCATAGCAAGCATTACTGCTAGCTACTGAAGCCTACAAAAATGATATTGGTTGCTATTCACTCCTTTTAAACAGTGTCATTAATTAAGGATCAATGTTGGTTTAAAAAGATCATCAAGCGAATCAGCTTATAGGGTTTTTTTTCAATTGAACAAGGTGAAATTCAATCAACTCAACTGAAAATGGTTGATCCCAATAGACAGGACCTAAAATACTTAATGAAAAGGCATTAATTGTTTGTAAGTCTCTAAACAATGTTATTGCTCCCTGCCCCTCTGACATTTGAAGGAAATTTTCATCAGGTCAGGAGGGTCTTTCAATTTTTTTTTTTACTTCTGTATCTACTTTCTAATGGAAGGGAGAGACCAGATATTCTTTCTAGAGTACACTTATCTTTCAAATTCAGTTATCATGAGCCCAAGGCGATGTGATCAATTTGTATCCAGTGAGATTCAAACTCATTAAGAACCTTCAGGACATCTATCAGGTGCTCCAACCCCTGTGTGGAATTACAATGAAGGGCAAGGCAAGCAACACCTTACACAGTTACTGTTTTGTGTATCCTTTTTTGACTTCAAGGTTGGACCGTCTGTACTATGGGAATCGATATGAGGACACTGAGAGTCTTATAAATGTAACACCACTATTCCAATATGTTGCCACTCCTACTGATCAGCGCTCTACACCTGCAGAGCAAGTCAGGGGCAAGGAGGCATGTGACATCGTTAAAAAACATCAACATTTTATTTCTTAATAACCATTCCCAGAAGCATGCCCCATGGTGCATTTTCAATCAATACGCAGAGACTTCATCATCCATTTTGTTTTTCTAAGTTGAATTCAAATGATTGAAAGTTATATGTTTGGACCTCTGATCAATACACTTTACCAGCTCATTGGGCACAAGGCATGTAAAAACCTGAGGGAAAAACCTGTTACAGTGACAGTTGTTTGAGAAACCCATACTGGCTGCAAAAGAGATTGGTATTTTTTTGGGAGTTAAACTCGACTTTTGTCATACCACTCAGAAACTCATCCACAGAGTATGAAACAGGCTCTGAAGGGGACATGGAATAGACCATGTACTCCAAAACTTTTTCATGTGGCCTTTTCTTACTTCAAGGTTTGACCATGTGTACTATGGAAATTGTCTGGAAGACACCAAGAGTGACATGGACTTAGAACCACTTTTTCAATTTGTTGCTGCACCCATTGATCAGCGGTCCACCCCTGCAGAGCAAGTCAGGAGTAAGGAGGCGTATGGCATCATTAAAAAATGGGCAAACGATCCAAATGGGTTTATTATCAGCTGTGTCCAAAAAAAATGACATGCTAATGTACATCCAGCATTATCTAGCACACACTGTGGCAATGTTGTTGCTAGTACCATGTGACAATAATGCTTGATTGGATTATGGTGAATGATTGTGGGACACTGCAAAACAAAACAAAAAATTGGGTTTTCAGAAAAAATTGAGATGTTAATCATGAATTTATGTGAGCTTTTATGAAATAATTATTATAATGAGTTCTTGATAGAAATTTAGGCTAGGAATTTTTTTAATTGTAAAGAAACATCTGAATAAATAATGTTTTCTTTTTCCATTTGACAGTGTCTACTTGCCTTTAGAGAATGACTTAGGATGAACAAGAGATCCTTTCAAATGTTTTTTTTTTTTTTCAACTCTGGACTTGGACCAGGTAACCCTAACTCCCCCACCTCAGAAATGCACCCCATAAAATAAAATTTCACTTGCTATGTTTTGGTTAGGATTCAACAAAGGGTCCTTTTGCCTCTTCTTAACTCACCTTTCTTTTTTTTTTTTCGTTTTCTTCAAACTACACCAAATTTGGGATTTCTCAAAGTGATTAATGAGCATGCAGGTGTACTTGGATTTTCGTTACCTTTGCTTCTGCTAATTTTTTTGTTTTTTACTTATTTATTTATTTTTGCAACTGACTGTCGTTTCAATTCGCTAAAACATCCTCATCTTGATTTCTTTGAACAATAGCTATAAACTAAGCTATAAACTCAGCTATAAACTAAGCACTTTTAGAGCGCCTTCCTTTTGTTAGTTTTCAACATATTCGTGTGAAATTTTGCAGATCTACTTCAGTTGGCACGATAACGTGATGGTACCGAGATTATTTTCTGTTATGTTAGTTGCCTGCAATTAGGAAACTGGGACCTAACGGAGACAAATCGCAAGTAGGTCACGCGGGTCAGGTGAAAGTCAGCTGGAGTCGGAGGGGCGTTCGCCCTTAACTGATTGATTTCAGAATTGCTCATTCTAAAACCTGTGGGAGTAGTTAGAGATGTCTGCATACACTCCTAAGAGAGAAGAAATGGAGCGATTCATGTCTCGTGCGATCGAGCTTAGCGTGGAAGGAGCATCGAAGGGACATGGTGGTCCGTATAGAGCAGTGGTTGTCAAAGATGGCGAGATTGTCGGTACGATGGCTATTACTTCTTTCGCAACCCGCCTTCTCTCCTCCGTGCATGCAGCAAGACTTTAACCTGGTTCTAAACGTTGACTGTAAGTCCCAGTTTCAGACTTTCAAAGCAGTCTATGGAAGGGAAAACTTCCTTTTATTACCCATTACGTAATCCCGGCGATGAGCTTTGAGGTGGCTGGTACCAGTGTTCATCTTTTTGATGGTTTGTAACTTTGAAAGAACACAACAAAAAAGACTGACCAAGGCCAGTTGAACACTTTTACAGGGTTGAATTATATAATCATCGGCTATCCAAAAATAGGTGTCATTTCGTATAGCATTGCTACTTTATATTCTGAGTTCCATAAGGTCTAACCATAGTTAGTCCCCTCTACTAACTATGGTCTAACTCGATCGCAAATGAATGTAAAATCCGACCGAAAAATTTTGAGGGTCGGCCGCGCAGACGCCATATTTTCAAATTTGATCATTTAGTGAAGACGCATAGAATAATGCCCCTCCAGTACCCCCAAAAGCCATCAAAATATATGCGCAAACGACGGATTCTAATTGGTTTATTGATCTCCAAACCATAGAGGAAGATTGGGGACAAAACTCTACTTAGTAGGGGATGTAGGGGGGAAAGCGTTCTCGCGCGAGCCAATCCCGCGGTTCGGGCGGTTCAGGTGTCAATGTGTTAATTAATTAATTAATTCATTCAGTCTGGAGGGGGGGAAGGGCAGGGCACACAAGCGACTTATTGTGTGATTGTGGAGTATGACAAACCATAACCAAATGGAAGCAACCTCACTCCTTCCTAGCCACTCATCACTGCCCAGCACACCACACAACCACACCCCCACTGCTCTTTGTCCCAGGAAAAATAACTTAACCTTGTATTCACACTCTCCATACTGTTCTCCACACATTTCGTTAGCTGCTGACAAGTAGAATTTTTTAATAATTAAGAGCTTTATTAGTTGATGATCATTTACTTGATTTATTCTTGTGACCTTAATGTGTGAGGTAGAGGTGATATTGTCAGGAAAAACTAGAGGCTAATCATTCAGAGGCATGCACAAGGGTTAACAGAGCAGCCACATACATAACCCAGTCAACTGGGATTGTAGTTGGCTGGCTTTATTTATAGAGGGTAGCACTTAAAAGCTAGAACAAAGCTAGAAAGCTGTGATCCTCAGAACACCCACCCATCCCACCCCTGGGGAAGACATCCATCACACAGTAATCTCGTGCGTGGGAAATTAACGTCTCCTACCCCTAACCCTGCAGGAGACGGGGCCTACGGTTTATTCGTCTTTATCCGAGAAGACTAGATTATCTATCCATTTCTTGATATTATAGAAAGGTAGCAAATTCTCCTCAGTTATTTTATGACCATGAGTATTGATCCGGCCGGGGCTCGAACCCTCGACCTCCCGCAGAACACAAACCGGCGCTCTAACCAATTGAGCTAACCGGGAGGCAGTAGTATTCTTGTTTCTAGGATTTTTTTTTAACTTAATTGATAAAAACTTTCCACCTATTTAAATTGCATTGATCAGTTTGACTTTCATTAGAGCTTCATACATTAGTCATTTTTTTTGGTAAACTCAGTTTAAACTGATGCTCTAATTTCTTCCAGGTGAAGGTTACAACCGAGTCTTTGTTGACTCTGATCCAAGTGCACATGGGGAAGTAGTAGCAATACGAAATGCAGGAAAAAACCTGGGAATGTTTGAAATAACAGGCTGTAGTTTGTACACAAACTTTGAGCCTTGCCCAATGTGTGCTGCTACAATTTGGTGGAGCAAGTAAGCAAATATTGGACAGTTTTGATTTTAAAGGTGCTCTTGCTGATATTGGGAGAATGTGCAGTATTGTACTACGGTCGAAGCTCTCGTAAGCGGACACCCTCGGGACGGGATAAAAATGTGCGTAACTGGAGCTGGCCGCTTTCGAGAATGGTTCTCGTAAGCGGCCTCTAAAGGTGTAGGAGATAGATGGCTGCTTACGGGGGCTTGCCCAGCTAACAATAATTATTGGTATACAAAAAAATACCGCGGTATTAATGACACTTTTGTTTTATTGCGCCCTATACAATACGATAATGACGATAACTGAATAGTATTCAAGTCACAAGCGCATATGCTTCGAAATATAACCGGACGAAATCATTGTGACGAACGGCAATGTAAAATGGTTGATTGATAAAAACAAGATACTGTACAGAGATTGTTGATTTTCTTTCGGGTGTCCGTTTACGAGAGCTTAAAAACAAAGAAAAAGTCTAAGTCGTAATCCCTGAAAGTGTCCGCAGCCGCTTACGGGAATGTCCGCTTACGAGAATGTAAAAATACAGATTTTGTAGGGGAGTTAAAACGGGGTTTTAAACAAGGCGGCCGTAAGTGGAGCTGTCCGCTTACGAGAGTGTCTGTTAAGAGAGCTTCGACTGTACTAGAATAACAAGCAAATGTAGAATTCCTCAGGGAGAGGAGAGGTTAGATTAAGGGAGAAACTTGATAGGTGTTTGTGTGTAATCGCCACCAGATCTTGAATCTGCTGCCCACTAATATATTCTGAAGCTCTGACTTTCAACTCTAGTCAAGATGATGACCACTTTGTGGACATTTTTCAAAATTTAACCCCATTTTAAAAGATCCAATAATGAAATGCTTCCATTTCGGTCAATTTTTTCTGAGGCAATGTGCCTCTGGCCATGCAGAACTTCGTTATAGACCTTGTGCTAACCATAGTTCATCTTTTTTGTTTATTCACGCTAGACTTGATAGAGTGTTCTATGCACAACCTGTGAAAGGCAGCACAGTTCATCATGAAGAAAACCAGGAAGAGGTTTTCAACTTTGTAGCAACACCAATCGACAAGCGTTCTATTCCAGGAGAACAGATTGAGAGTAAAGCAAAGGAGGCACTTGACATCATTGAAAAATATCTGACTGATCATACAAAGAAAGTTTGAGAGATGATAAAAAAGAGAATACCATCACTGCCGGAGATTCTCAGTTCTTTTGTAGAGAGGGTTAAACCCTCTGAATAAACTCCACAACTCCATAAAACTCCATCACCTCCATATTATAATTAAATGGTTAATTATATTTATGTTGATAAATGAAGTTATAGTTTATTTTTCTCAGATGAGCGTGGATGGTGTAAAAATAAACGTGGTATATGACAAGGTTTTACTGCCGGGATAAATGATTAAGACCAAAAAAATAACTCAAATTACTAGTTCTACAAATTATCCAAAGTATGAGAATCATGAAGTTGATTAGCCACCCTTTTGTCCTTCGGTAGACATTGGTCTGCGAGCTACGGTAGCGCAGAAGTCATAACTAAAAAAAAAAGAGGAGGAAATAATAAGAGAAACATGCAGAGAATGGATTGTATTTGGCATTTTTGGCCTTTCCAAGTAAGGAAAAGGGCAGGTTTGACAGTTGCATATTGAAAACGTTGTGGCTGTTTGTCCTCGGGATTACATGCTATCTAACCAACTTCACGAACCACTACAATTTGCTTATCAGCCTCTCCACAGCTGTGAAGCCGCTCTTGTGCGTGTTTAGAACGATATTCTACGTGCTATCGATAATCGGCAATGCGTTATTTATACTCCTACCTCTTGATTTGTCCGCCGCCTTCGACACTGTCGATCATGTATCTCTGCTTAAAAGACTAAATTCCAAATTTGCAATCAGTGGAACTGCCCTTAACTTGTTTCAGTCCTATTCATCTAATCGTACCCAATCTGTTTTGATCAACAGAGAGAAATCGAAGCCTCTTGTACTCAGTTGTGGGGGGTACCACAGGGCCTTGCTCTTGGACCAGTTCTGTACTTAATGTATACTGCATCACTAGTCGATATTTTGAGGCATCATAAAATGCAATTCCACCTCTACGCTGATATGATACTCAGCTTTACGTCCCCGCCCTTTTCCACCAAAAACAACTTGGAGCTGACTGAAACCATTATTAGCATTGAACTGTGCCTTAATGATCTGGATAAATGGTTGTGCGTCTATAAATTAAAACTTAACAAAGATAAAACCGAACTTCTCTTCCTTCACTCGAAACACATGCCGCAGAACTATTCACCATCACTTTCAGTGGACAAGACATTGTTCAGCCTTCTCGATCTGCAAGAAATATTGGTGTAATTTATGATACTACCACGACTATCATTTACCTCACATTAATGCTGTATGCAAATCTGCTTTCTAACATTTGCGTAACATATCTCGTATTAGGAAATTTCTATCCCTGGAGCCACTAAGTTACCCATCCATGCTTTTGTGTCGTCTGAACTCGATCACTGTACGTAACTCGCTTCTGTATAATGTCCCTAAGTATGCCGTGAAAAAACTTCAGTATGTACTGAACGCTTCCGCTCGTCTAATTACACGTTCTTCCAAGTACTGTCACATAACTCCCATCTTGTTTGAACTACACTGGCTACCAATCGCTGGGCGCATAAATTTCAAGATTTTGCTTCTCACTTTCAGGGCTATACACAAACAGTC